TGCTTTCTCAGTCTTACGTCATGTCCTGAGGCAGTGACAAACAACCAATATATGGTTAGAAAAGCAGTCATATCCTAATCCTAATTATATGCTTATTATTATTGTGATTTTAATTTTTTGTTTTGTGTGCACATTTATTAATAAAGTTGAAATTGTCTCACAAATGAAGGATAATTGTTGCCGACAATCTCTGCTCGAGTGTAGCATTAAAAAGATTGACGCTAAAAAACGACACGTTAAGTGGTATTGATTTCATTTTTTTTTTTAGAGGCAACGTTAAGCTTATTTTAATGTAAAACACTACATTTAATTACATTTTCTTCGCCTTATCAACCCTTTGTTATTCATCCAATTCACCTTACAATGCTTTTCACAAATAAACATACTTGTAACTTTTAATTATTAAAGATTTTGATTGTACAAATTTAATTTAATTAATATATCTGGTGGGGTTTGATCGTAAATATTTTGTAATTTTTTACAAGGATAATAAATATTTTTTTATCGGCAAATTCAATTTATTTGTAATTAATATACCGGATCGAAAAATAAGGATTTACCAAAATGTTTCAACGATACTCAAAGACGATACACTCTCATCAATAGTAATTGCCCATTAATTTAATATTGATGATTTAACTCTATTTATTATTCCAAATTCATTTGTTAGCATTGAGCATCTATATGAAAGTTATTGATTCCTCTGAAATAATGATAAAAGTGTGCAAGTCATTAAAAAAAAAAAAAAAAAATACTGCGGGACTCGTGCCGAGCCGGCAAACTTCTCCGCCATCATCTTACCGGGATGCTTTTCTTTGCCCGCTGAAGTTGACGGAGCAATACTGCAAGCCAGTGGACTTGTCTTTCAATTCGCGCGCGCAGGTCCCAGGGGCGCTGTCCAATATACCAAGCGCTCCCACTTGGACTTTTAAGTTTGCTTATCTGCCACGGTCATTGAGAGCGCGCTGTTCTCTCTGCGCTCACCATGGCCAATTTTTATTCTAGATAATAAATCTAGAAATAAATATAAAAACCAAAAAAAACTTACCAAGCTTTATTATATATTCATAGAGGATGTGGTTTGTGTATGTTAATGAAAAAACTCGTGTTCTCTCTACCCTTACTGCAATGCCACAGAATCTTGGACAGGAAACGATCGATCAGTACCGCATGTTTAGAGATCACCATTAATCTGGTTGTTCTAAGATCGTGAGTAATTGTTCTATACCTGTATTTGCCATCATGATCGGTATAAGTTCATGCACAGAATCCAAACTCAAGCTAAACTAAGATTACTAATGAGGGTTATGAAGTTCCACTTATAAGCTCTCTATCTTTTTATATATATATATTAATAAATTCTTGTTGTTCATGAAGATGAATAGGTTGATGAGCGTTGCTTTCACGTTCTTCTTCTTCCTTCTTTCTTCTTCTAGTTGTAGCTACCGCGTTAGCAGATGGGCTAGATATTAGCGAAACCAATATGCCATAAGATTACACAGGGAACACTTCCCTCTTCGCAGTCACCTTTTTTTCCTTCTATTGAAATTCAATGTAGGGTTTCATGAAATACAAATGTAAAATTTAATAGCAAATATATTTTTTGAAATATTATGGGCAGTGACTTCTCTAATTCCTTGGTGGAAGATTCGATAACAAAGAAAATAATCGAATGTTCTTGCAAATTTTCAACACCATGTAACGTATAAGACCTCAACGAATTGTGTGAAATCTTTTTCCACTAGTACCAGTGGTGCAGATGGTTGGGACATTGAAGAGGTTTTGTAATGAACGTCCTTAAAATTTTTTTCAAGTTTTTAATTTGTTAATTTTTTCAATTTGCTTAATATAAGTTTTAATATTTAATACATGTCAAATAAATCAGGGGATATTACATATCAATCCCATGAGGTATACGATTTATTTATGGAGTATAGAGGTATTATATAGTATACCTATATATATCGACTAATATATAGCCAACGGCTCCCATTCTCCTACTTTGTAATATTTTTTCATTTTTAAAAATTTTTTGAATTATCGTAGTAAAATTATAAAAAAAAAATCTGAAAAAATTATCATAATAAAATTTCCTTCATATTCTAAAAATAAAAAATTATAAAAAAAAGAGAGAACGTGAGGACCAAATCATAAATGAAAATATTAGAGTAGAGAGGAACAACTTAATTTGTTGATAATTGAAAGTTTCAAGTACCAAAATTTTACACAATATTTTTAGTTGAACATGACTTCAAATTTCTTCTTTTTTTTATATAATTATATGTTATTTTAGCCCTTAATAAAATTTAGAGTAAACTGATAATAAAAAAATTTTAAAAGGAATATGTTTCTTGAAACTGACAAGCTACGTTTTCGTTAATTTCTCTTCCTCCTCCACCGCATATTCCTTTTCAATCGATAGTAATTAATAGGGATTTGAATTTTGGTGGTTATTAATAAATTTATTTATCTAAAAAAGGATAGTATTTAGGTTAATTTGTCATTTACATATTACTATCAGGTTGAGTGTCTGATAATGACTTTGTTCTAAATAAAGTAGTACTATTAATTTGTCTCTCTAAAAAGTCAAAGAGATATTAAATAATTACTTTTGAACTTTTTTTAAATTTTGAGCTTTTTCAAAATAAAAAATGTCTTCGCAGGAGCTAGTACAAAGAACCATTAAAAATGCAGGCGAAATATGCTATTGATTTCCGCAAGTGGTGGGTGAGTTTTACGATTTACTCGGTGCATAGTCAAAAAGATGACGGCGGCATATGATCGCTGTATATTGAATAATTCCTAAGCAACTGTCCTGTTTTCTTTTTTCTTTTAAAAATTTAAGTATCGGTCAAATTTGAAACTTAAAAATGATTTTAAATCTGTGAAGTGCAAATTGATCCCTGAATTTTTTTCTTTTAAAAATTTAAGTATCCAAATTTGAATTAAAAAATGATTTTAATCTGATGAATGCAAATTCATGAATTTTATAGTGTGGTTAATTTTCATCAAATTGCGAAAACTCTTGTCAAAAAACTCAGAAATCAATTGGCTTCTTCGGTTAATTTTCGAAGTCATAATAGAAACCAAAATGTAATCGCCTGTAAATTGTAATGAATTCACTTTGACATGATCATGACTTTTGTAAAATTGATATATTGCAGCTAGCGCATTAAATTCCATCTTTCGAAAATGGGGAATCCAAGCTGATCAAAACCAGTGGAATATAAGCGGAGAACTATGCAGTGGAGGAGCACTCGGTTCATCACCCGCTATCGACGCCTACAACCCTTTTATCAAATGCGATTGCTCTGCCAATAATGGCACCACTTGCCACATTACTGCGCTGTACGTTTTCTCACAATCAACCTTTTATGTTTATTTTGTTGGTCTTTTAACATTCTCCTTTGCGGAGGTATCATATCTGTTTGATTTTATGCCTCGCTCAGTAGTGAACGGCTTGATTTTAGTGTTATAATTAATCTTCGCTCATTCTTGAAATGGTTTGTAGGAGAGTTTATGCAATCGATGTTGTGGGTGTAATTCCAGATGAACTGTGGACTTTGACTTTCCTCACCAATTTGTATGGTTTCTTACTCTGGGTATATTTATTAAAGTCGTACACTTCCGCATTGCTTTCTTCTTTCACATGGAATGAAAGTTTAAGCTTTTAGCATCCTAAGCCTTAACCAAATAAATGCATATGCTTTGTTACTTTTCGACCCTCGTCAACCCGCTAGTGTACTGAACTCGTTTTCTGTTACTTTTCGACCCTCGTCAACCCGCTAGTGTACTGAACTCGTTTTCAGGGATTTGCGTCAGAATTACTTGACTGGTAACCTCTCTCCATCCATTGGCAATTTAACTCGCATGCAATACCTGTAAGCTGATCTAAATTGCTGAATTCTTAAAAATTTCTGGCACTAGCTTTTGAACGTCATAGGAATGCACCCATTATCGAACTTACTGCTTTTGGTATTTTCCCGTGACGTTTAAAGGTAAAATAACTATTGATCAGGACCGGTTGGACAATTAAAACTCCCTGTCGGGTGAACTTCTAAGGGTTTACTTGGATTGCTGCGACAAGTGATATTAGCGAATCACTGTAGAGGTTTTTAGTTAGGCGTGGGGAACTTGATGAGAGTTTGTTATTCAAGAGACTGACCGAAGAGAACAGCGTAATCTATTTTTTTTTTTGGTCATTTTGCGGAATATGATGTTAGTTAGCGTGAGCTTTTGGGCTAAGGTGTTTCTACATAGAAATAGCGATATTAATTAATTGCCCAAGGATATAGAGTTCTGTGGCTATCATTGGGAATTGCGGTTGCTCGTATGTAACATATGTTATAGTCGTGAAATGGAGGTAACTCGGGATGAGATTATCAGTTAAAATAAGTTACTTTTTCTCTCCTGTTGACGTTTTCATCATTATATTGCGAGCCCGCCGGGTTTTTGGAGTCAAAAAAAAACTTGTCTGAGTCCTCTGCAGTCGTGAAGGACTTGGGGTTTGTTCGATTGGCTAGAACAAATGTAAGAGTTTGTTCATTTTGTTCTGTTTTTTTAAGTATAATAATGTTCATTTCTTGGTTAGTTTTTGTATTTAGTAAGAAGGAGTGGGTGTGTTTGGAAATCTATAGGTGAGCTTACTAAGCATTCCATAATATAGTTGAAATGAGAATTCAGATGAGTAGTAGTTAATGTTTCCATTGTTGGCCATTACCAGAAGTGGTTTTTGGAAATCTATATCACTTCTACATTCATATATTGAAATGAATTCAATGACAGTGATTATGCCATTTTGGCTTACCTACGTTCCTACTTGCATGTTAACTGTTTTTCAGTTCTTCCCTCACTATCTATAAATAATTTGACTTTTGCATTTTCAAATGAAAAAGTTATCTGATAACAACACAGCTTAAAAATATTTTACCTTGACAGTTATTTTGGTAGCTCTGGAGTTAGTGGTGAAATTCCTCCTACATTTGCTAACCTACGAAACATGGTTACTGTGTAAGAACTGTTTGACAACTTTGACCCTGGTAAATCTCTTTCTAGAAGATACTGATAAAATATGTTATGTTGATTCTTTGTGTTGGTCTCAGGTGGGCATCAGACACTGAACTTACAGGCAGGATACCTGATTTCATAGGGAATTGGTCAAAGCTTGTGACCTTGTATGACAAATGACAATTCATAAAATTTTTTTTATTAATTTTCTTGGATTAAAGCTCAAGTTATTACTACTTTTTGGAAATTGAATAGAGGAGATTTGATAATTTTGTGTTGCTGCTTAAATGCCAAAGCCGTATGCTTATATCAGCTATTCATAAATGTAACTGCAGAAGGTTTGAAGGGAACTCCTTTGAAGGTCCTATTCCATCAGCATTATCCAACCTAACTTCTTTGACAGAGCTGTGAGTACCTGCACCTTTGCATGCTTGTGTTTATATGTTACTCACATATGATATTAATAACCTAAGGTAAATTCTAAATGTAGGAGAATAAGTGATTTATCAAATGGAAGCTCTTCACTGGCATTTCTTAAGGATATGAAATCTCTAACTGTCTTGTAAGAGAATATTCACTGGGCATTTCTTAACAAGGATATGAAATCTCTATACTGTCTTTTGTAAAGTTAGGGAATATCATGACCTATCCTTCTTCTTCAATTCTTGGTGTCATATACTAAAATCATTATTTTTTTTCTCGGTCCCAGTTATGAACTTTTTAAAAGGTAAAGATGACAATATCAAGTTTAATGTTATCAGGGTGCTGAAGGAATGATTATGTTATTCAGGGTGCTAAGGAATGATAATATATCTGATTCAATTCCATCCAGTATTGGAGAATACCAGAATTTGACACAGTTGTAAGTTATTTCTATTGATGAGTCATTAGATGTACAAGTAGTTGGCAATATCTTATGTTGAACTCAGGTTGGCTAAAATATCTTTTTACTCATTAGCTGATTGTTGATTGTATCACTTTCTGGAGTTGGGTGTTACAAAATTTATAAATTGCTAAAGTTTAGTGATCAAATTTAGCAGATTGGTTGTGCTTTTCTGATTAGGCAATTGATCACTCTAAAGTAAATGCAAATAAATTACCCTCTTTGGGATGGAGTAATGGTCTGGTGTCTGGGTTAAATTCTGAATCTCCTGTACCATGATCAATCAGTTCTCTTTTTCTGTACTCTGTATAACTTGTTCAGCAATTTTGTTTATCTTTAACCTTATGGTTGCAATGATTTTTTTCCTTAGAGATTGGAGCTTCAACAATATAATTGGAAGGATACCGGATTCACTTTTCAATTTGAGCCAGCTCTCTTTCTTGTAATATACCATCTCTGCTTGATTTTATCATGATACATCTCAATGTGCATTTCAAATTGAACATATACTGCTCCCTTCCTCCTCAGGTTTCTTGGAAATAACAAGTTGGAAGGTCCCCTTCCTGCACAAAAAGTTTCATCGCTCCTAAATGTGTATGTACATCTCAAATATTCTATCCAATATCAAATACTATCTGTTTATTTCCTGGTTGGATTATATGCTTAATGTTTTTCTCTATGTCCCAAGTCCAAATAGTTAATATTGACATAACTAATTCCGGATGTTTATTTCCATGGGTTGGATTATAATTGCTTAATGTTTTTTCTTCTCTATGTCCAGTCCAAATATGTTTAATATTGACAATAACTAATTCCGGAACTAAGGTATTTCAATGAATTGGGTGAAATTGGGTGAAATACTTATCTTTTTTTTCTTTGACAATTTATAATTACAGTGATGTTTCATACAATAATTTATCAGGGAGCCTTCCTTCCTGGGTTAATGATCAAAATTTACAAGTGTAAGTTCTTAGTTCCTCTGTTCTTTACTTTTCTTAATGATATTTCTGGCTCATTCTCTATGGAAAATTTACAAGTGTAAGTTCTTAGTTCCTCTGTTCTTTACTTTTCTTAGTGATATTTCTGACTCATTCTCTATGGAGTTATTGATGAAAGAACTTCCACTGAAATCTTTAATTCTTTGTGGTGTTTGTGCAGTAATTTAGTTGCAAACAACTTCACAATAGATCTTTCAAATAGCGGGTAATTCTTTTGGTTCTATGTTCACCTTTGTGCTTAAATAACTGGTACTTAGTGTCTGTTATAATTTCCTATTAGTCACTTAATCAAATTTATCTTTGGCTTTCAGTGGTTTGCCATCAGGTCTGAAATGTCTTCAATGTAACTTTCCTTGCAATAGGGAACCTCCAATCTGTAAGTATAATTAAAATGCTCTCCTTTTTCATACTTTTCTGAAATAGTGCACTAAGTTTGGTAGTGAGGGTCACAGAAGAAGGGAAGGTTAATTTACTTAAGAATAATGTCATTTCAAACTGTAAACTTTTACCATTCTTAATTTGGCAGAAAGTATAACCATGAAATTTTTTAATCTCCTGGTTTTTGCTAAAGAAAGTATAACCATGAGTTTATCCATGAGAGTTTAATGCACTAAAGAAAGTTTTCATGGGGTTAAAAAGATGTCCCAATATAAGAGTGAGAGGATAAATCTGACAGGTTCCTATTTTCTTCTGGTGCACAGATTCTCAGTTTGCAATAAAGAGTGGTGGTCCACCGATAACGTCTTCCGATGGAATCTTTTATGAGAGGGAAAATGAGACTCTTGGTGCTGCAACATATTATGTTACTGGTACAAACCGATGGGGTGTCAGTAATGTTGGATATTTTACCGGAAACAACAATCCTCTGTATACTGCTTCTTCATCATCGCAATCCACAAATACTTTGGACCCTGAGTTATTCCAAACGGCAAGGATTTCTGCTTCGTCACTAAGATACTACGGTTTGGGGCTTGAGAATGGCAATTACACTATCAACCTTCAGTTTGCAGAAATAGTAATTGAGGATTAAAGATTACTCGAACGGTTTGGGGCTTGAGAATGGCTAATTACACTATCAAACCTTCAAGTTTTGCAGAAATAGGATGAATGGGGGTTAGTTATATTTAAACATGGGAAAGAGTCCGTTGGGGACGGCGTGGTTGTTTGATGTTTATGTCCCAGGTCTGTGTAGTGTATAGTAATGAAATTTTTTAAAGAACTTCTAATCGTTGTCGCCTCCAAATGGAAGATAATGATTGCAATAGAACTTTCTAAATTGTTTTTTTTTTTAATAATTAATTCCTAAGTTATTGCTCACTGGGGGATTTTCTTTTAAATAACATGAATCCAGTGAGGAATAGCTTATGAAAAATTGCTCATGATTGACTTCCAGAAGGGAATCTGTATACTTTCACCAATTGAATAATGTCAAAATACTATTTTATGTGATGCTGGATTATAATGCTATGGAGAAATTTCCAACCTCATTGTTTTCTTGCTGGAGCCGATGTATGAATTTTAACTTTTCTTTAATTGAAAGTTCCGAATTGTAGGTTTATGTTTAATCAGGGAATCTTGTGGCTAAAGGATTCGTTGACATAATGCAAAGGGAGGCAGGTGGAGTCTCAAAAAGAGCTGTAAGAAAGGAGTAACAGAGGTCTCGGGTGTCTGAAGAATTACCTTGTGACATCCAATTTATTTTGTGGCGGGGGGAAAGGGACTTGCCTGCATTCCCATTTTTCAGGTACATATGGACCTTGCTGATTTCAGGCATCAGTGCCTAGCCTGCAGGTACTTTATAATATTTAGAAAGAAATTTTGAATGTGGATTTTCACGTACGGACCGATACCTGGTAGGTTGTGAGTTTCTGAGCCTTTATGGGCAAAGAGTTTCATACCAACTGTTTAGTAAACAAGCCTCCAACTAGTGTAAAGAAAGGAAGGACTGGTCTTATTGTGGGTACATTGTTGTTTGGGGCATTGGGAGTACCAAGGCGCTTTCCTTCCTCTGTCTCTCGGTTTTCCTGCCTTTGTTCATATCAAAGAAGAAAAAGGCATAATGCACTTATGATGATGAAGGTAATATGAAAATCAAGCTTCCAATATATGGGTACTACCCATGTCGGAAAATTTGGGGTGTAGTTCTTCATATATGTGATCAAGAGATGCTATTGGTCCGGGAGCCATGATTTTATGCTTCTTTATTGGAGTATTGAAATTAACATTATTTTATAGGAACATATTATGTCAAACACAAAATGAAGATGTTACTAGATTTCACTATTCCCCACATTGGAGAAATTTAGTACCGTGGAGTCTTTCCTGCGTAATATATTACAGTAACATACTAGACAAGATAGTTTTTCGTCGAAATGAACCCGACATCTTTGTTGGTTGAAGGATTGCAGAAGCTGCTCGTATGCGGTATGGGAGATGGTGCTGAGGCGCTATCGTAACACCTTTCAGTTAGGCACGGTGAATACTGAAGACAGCTACAGTAAAGGACGTTCAAGCACGTACTGCCAATAATGACTTGGGAGAGGGTAGGATATTTGGAACCTAGTGTGATAAGGGGTCTGCAGAACTATTTTTGAACTCAAAGGGAGTATTTTCAAACTGATAGGTCCTTTTATGTCATGTATCCATCTTAATCATTTACTTCTGTTGTGGCAATTCGTTATGGGAAAGTAAATTGGAGGCCAAAGTTATTAACTAGACTAATGAACATCGGCTACCTTAGGTGCAACTGGTAAACAAAGTATCTTGATAGTATGTTCATTTTTGGTCCTCAAAGAATCTTTCTGACCAACATTTTGTTCTTTTTTTGTCAAACTTGTATAGCTGGGCGGGTGTGCTGGAGAGGTGGGTGGAGCCTTGAATGGTTGTACTTGTCAATGGGGCTCAAAACCGATATAATGAAATAGAGCTCTCACAAATTGCCTAGGGGAATGGCTGCATGCATTGTGACTCCAATGCCATTGACGCCTTGTGCACTGGGACTGTCCTTCCTTCATGGTTGGAGCTGTGATAACTTTGTGCAGGAAAATATAAAATATTGCAGTATAGCCTTATTTTCCTCGTGAACTCCTCGACTTCTCGTCACACAGGAACCTTATGCCATGCTATTCTGTCCCGAAAATAGAATTGGGATTGAGAATCTTAAAAAGTGAAGTTGTATTTTTTCATGATTTTTTGTTGTGAATTCAGGGTGTATTCTTCCTTTTTGTTCTTATTTCTTCTTTGTCCTTATTCTGGAATTTTGTTCTCTTAAATAGGGAGTACTTTAATGATTGGAGAGTGATTGTCTGTGAAGCAACTTTCTGTGGGCATTTCCCAACCAAGGAAGAGCAGTTTTGTAACAAGAGGATTGCTACTATAGGTTCTGCCGATGCAGAACACCGCAAAACCTTGTGAAAATTGGTATAGGGTGCTGGTCTGCAGTTGGATAGGGTATTAATAGGCTACTGTTATCGAGTTATCTCGAGATATCAAGAGTCTTGATCAATGCACTATCAGGTATCGTACTAATTTTTATTTATGATAATTCACATTAATAGGCGAATTATCTCTTGTCACTAGAGACCTTGTGGTTATAATATTAGTTTTAATTACACTGGCGGATTGTAATGTTTTACAAAGTGAGAAATCAGTTCTAGTATCTCTATACTTGTGCCTATCATTCGTTGGTGAAAATAATGCTTTGGGAGTGTGCCAGTATTAAGGTTCTAGCTTATCTCATGAGAGTCGCTGAAGGCTTATCTGAGATTGTGTGCATGAGAGATGTTAAGGCAAGGCCCTATGAATGTATTCTGCTTTCTGAGCTTCATCCCAAATGAGTGTGTCCCAGTATTCTTGGTTTTTGGGAGGCCATATATCTTATTATGGTAAGTAAGACCCATTATAAGCACAGCCGTGTCCTGATAAGAAGACCCATATAAGCACCCGTGTCGCAGGAACAATGTAAGATCCAGCGATTATTCTTTCTGACTTAATTAATCTCCAATTTAATCATTTCTTGAAAAAAATAAATCGTGTGAGCGGAGTAATTTTATAGTGACATCATCATTTCTACTGTAGTGGGTATCTTGCACCTGAATATGCTATGCGTGGACACCTTACAGAAAAGGCTGACGTCTTTGCATTTGGTGTGGTGGCTCTGGAAGTCGTAAGTGGGAGGCCAAATTCAGACTCAAGCCTGGAAGAAGAAAAGATTTATCTTCTCGAATGGGTATGATATAAAAGATGCATTCCTTCGAATGGAACTCTTTTTTTCCCTTTATTGGAAAATTTCAATTGCCTTTACCATATGTCCAATCTTAGCTATTAAGAAGAATTAGTGCATTCATATATTTTAATTATGCAAAAAGTTGAAACATCATTAAGGTTGGATGCAAATTAATTGTGAAAGTTTCAATTTTTCACTTAAAATAAAATTAAAAAGACCAAACATCATTAAGGTTGGATGCAAATTAATTGTGAAAGTTTCAATTTTTCACTTAAAATAAAATTAAAAAGACCCAGTATTTTCTTATATTCTTTTAGAATCAGTGAAGGAAGTTCAAAAATTTCTTTCAATTATTGAGCAGAGTTATAATAACTTTGAATAATTTATACATCTATTGCTTTGAATGTTGTCCATTAATGGAACTTGTAACGTTTTTGACTTTTAGGCCTGGCACCTGCATGAAAACAATCGTGAAGCAGAACTAGTAGACTCTAGATTATCAGAATTCAGTGAGGAGGAAGTAAAACGCTTAATAGGAGTAGCTCTTTTGTGCACTCAAACTTCACCAAATCTTCGGCCACCAATGTCACGCGTAGTGGCTATGCTAACTGGTGATATTGAAGTGAGCTCTGTAACTAACAGACCTGGATATTTGACTGACTGGAAATTTGATGACACAAGCAACTTCATGGATGATAATGGAGGCAGAGGAATTGATAACAGTTATTACAGTTCATCTACAAGTGCAAGCATGGTGACCGACGCAGAGCATACACATATAAGTGCCGCCAAACCCATGCTTTCGGAGATCATTGGAGAGGGTAGATAAAGAAACCTTCTTTTCTATTTCCTTCTTTTATTTGGGAGAGGGCAGATAAAGAAACCTTCTTTTTTCTATTTCCATTCTTTTTCTAAAATGCTGCAATTGCATCTTAGCATTGTGAGAAAGTGGAGGCCTTTGGCTATTTTTAACATTTTTGTTTATTTCCCTGATGCAATTAATGGAGATATCAAATTTTCTATGGTTTAATATTTTTAAGGCAGCACTAAAAAGAGAAGAAAAAAAAATCCAGGATTAACATGAGAATTGAGTAGCCGGTACAGTACTGGGCCAGGAAGAAAATGGCTTAATTTGTTCTTATATAAAGGGAAGAAAATATTTCCAATATAATGCAGGGAAAATTTAGACATTATATATTATTGCCTTGATATTTCTTAAATTCATCAGATTATTCCTGTTTTATTAAGCTATTGCCATCAAAATTACAACTATCTAGGTCTAAGTCACCTAAACAGGCCGAAGAAACCAAAAAGTGATTAATCTTAATAGTTGGGTTAAAATCATAATCTTTTTCTTCATTGCATATCCTCTGTAGTCATTATATAACATAGAACCCAGGCAAATATGAAAAATTATCTTAATATGCTAAAATATTCATTTATAGAACATCAACAGCTTTCTAGAAGGTCACCACTTATTTCATGATTCCTGACCAACCATATAAATTTCCGGCAAAATTACAATAGGCCAGTGACAGAGATAGCTTCTGCACAAGTCGGATTTGCCTTTACGCACAAGACAATAGGGCAGCAACAAAGAATTTGTTTGCCATCAAATGTCCAAAAACCGCCATAACCCAACCTACTGCACAATAATTGAACCTGTCAATCTCCAGAAATAAAACATGAACACCCGGGGTAAGAAAAAAACAGAGTAACAAAATCCCCTTGCGGGTACCATTTTCCTTTACGCACCTTTGTCTCCCAACGCGCAAAAACTCTTAGCTCTTTGCTAAAGCGGCATCAACTTCCTTTAAAAAGATCAAATTCTCATTTCCCCTTTCTTCTTCAACTCTTCTACCAGGCTCTTGGCCATAACGTTCCCCATTCTTCTTTCTCCTCTCTCCAACAACCTTCTCCATATGGCATATGCTACAGGTTCTGTTTTAGTAATCGTTAAGCTGGGCGCCAGACCTTATCCGCAAAAGAACACAAAAGAGAACACAGATGGATGGGATCCATGATTCTCCATACAGTATGGACCGCCACTTCCAGGTGGGTCTCTAAGAAAGGCATTGAATAGTTATTTCTTTCCTTCTTTCATCCAATTATAATCAAAAAGGATGACAAAATAATATTTTTTATAAGGAATTATAAATATTTTTTTCGAGCAAGAATTCGAATTTATTTTAATTAATATATCAAAAAAATTTAACTATGTTCAAAACAAAGAATAATTATGCAGGCATTGCATTAGTTTGAGATTTAACGTTAATTATTCCAAAAAAATCATTGGTATTAGCAGCCCTAAATGAAGTTATTACTCTTGAATAATATAAGTTTGAAGGATAAAAAAAAAGTAAAATGGACAGCATTGCATTATTTGAGATTTAACTTAATTATTCCAAATCATTGTATTAGCATCTAAATGAAGTTATTACTCTTGAATAATATAAAGTTGAAGATAAAAAAATAAAATACTGCAGTTGGTGTGCCCACTCGCCGCCAATCATCTTCCGGGATGCTTTTCTTTTCTTACACCTGCTGAAGTTGACAAATCGAAGCTGTGGACTTTGTCTCAATTCGTAAATCCCAGGGGCCGCTGTCCATTCCCCATTAGACTTTAAGGTTTGCTTATCTGCCACGGTCGATGAGAGCGCGCTGTTCTCTCTGTGCTCACCATCCATTTTTTCTAGATATAAATCTAGAATAATATAAAAAAAAAAAATTCAAGCTTTATTATATATTCTGGATGTGGTTTTTGTATGTTAAGAAAAACAGTGTCTTTATTAATCAAGCAATCCTGGACAGGAAACGATTGATCAATACCCATGGTTAGATATTCACCATTGTCGGTTCTAGTTCTGGTATTGGTTCTATACTGTATTTGCATGATCGGTATAGTTCATGCACAGATTCTAACGAAGGTAAGAAGCTCCATCTATACAGCTCTCTATCTTATATATATATATATATTCTTGTTGTTCATGAAGATGACATGTCACACAAACGTGCCTAATTCATATAGTTTTTTGAAGTCAATTCAATATTTGAGCAGCAAATTTCTCTTGGCATTAGGTCCAAGAGGTTCAGCTATGCTTGACTCACCCACTGTACTACCGATACTTATATCTTGGCCCATCTCATGACTCGTAAGCCTTGACTCTTGCTTTTATCGTCATCATCCCTCCACAATCAAATACAATAAATTCCGAATACTTTCTATTTATAAAATTATATATATTAAACACTTTAATTTAAAAATTAAATTAATTAAATATTTATTAAAATAGATAATAAATATGAAAATTATTATTTTAAAATTTATGTTAACCACTCATCAATTTAATTTTTTTAGCATATAAAATTCAAAAAATTTAAAAATTATTATTGTTTGTGTAGAAATATATCTTTGTTATCAAAATTTATAATTTAAAAAACGGGATAAATCCCTCTCGAAATTAAAAGTACCACTAGGTTACCATTACAATGATCGAAAGGATTGGCCCTCAATATTTATATTTCTATTTTTTTTTCAATAATTGTGGTTGAATAGTATTTCTTTCCCTCTTTCACCATTAAATCAGGATGCATATATTTGATGTTAACAAAAGTTTGATTTATCTACATATTTTAAATTTGTCCATACTTCTTTTTTATTACAAGACTAATTTTGGATCATGTAAAAGCTATGATACGATAAAAGATTGCACATAAATATATTATATATCAACTTGAAATGACATTGGCATCATCTTCTGTAAGTTAAACTTATTTTACACGGTAGAATAAAAAATAGACTGCTGTAATTATCATTTCATTTTCATTTTTTAGAAAATTGGATCATTTCATCCAATCTCAGACATCTTTTTCTATTTCCATTGGAAGTTCTTATCAATTTTAGTCAAACAAAAAGAACAGACTTTTCTATTATTAATTTGGGCTACGGGTCCATTGATTAATCCAATTGTGTCCTTAGCAAAATATGCTAAATATTATAGAAAGTGTTTTATTATGATTATTTATTTTTCAGATACAATGTTATAAAAATGTGAAAGTTTACCCATAAAAAAAAGAAACAGACTTTTCTAATTATTAAATTTGCGCTTAATCCGGGGTCCAAATTGAATTAATCGCAATGGTGTCCCTTTAGCAAAATAGGCTAAAATATTATAGAAAAGTGTTTATATTATGAATAAATTATGTTTTCAGATAACAAATGTTGATAAAAAACTGTGAAAGGTTTACCCCATAAAATTTTGTTTTTAATGTGAAGCACTGTAAAAGAAAAAAGAATAAATTTAATATGTGCTTCGATATATATAATAATATATATATATCAATTAGAATATATATATATATATATATATAAAGGGAATTCGTGAAGTTAAAATTTTGCAGAATCCTAACATCATAAAAAGAAGCCTTTTACAGATAAGAAGTGCATATAATAACATCATAAAAAAATTATTGGTGTACTACATTTTTATTGGTTAAATTTGTCATTTATATATTACTATCAGATAAGAAGCCTTTTGCAGAATCCTAACATCATAAAAGAGATGTTTGTGTTAAAGAAATGGAGAGGTGGGGGTCGGTAGTTTAATAAAAAATTTTGGAAGCAAAAAAGGATAATAAAGCAACGTATAAAAGAGGCAAGAGATAGGTTTGATGATATCAATGTTCAAAAATTAAAAAAATGAATGGAATACTATTCTATTCAAAGAAGAGTGCCAAATGAGACAAATAGGGAAACAGAGATGGTTTTCTTGTGGAGATCAAAACTCCAAATATTTCCAGGCTTCAATAAAGACTAGAAAAAAGAGAACTAAAATTATGAAGTTGGAAAATGAGGATGGCGAGATACTTACAGATAATGACAGTTTGGAACAACTTACATTGAATTATTTTTCTACTGTTTATAGTGCAGAAGAATCAGTTTGCATTCAAATTTTTAATCTTGTTCAACCAAAGGTGACAGATATCCAGAACAATATTCATACGGCTCCATTTACGTTGGATGAGATCAGAGAAGCTGCATTTGATATGCAACCTGACAAATCACCTGGACCGGATGGCCTAAATCCGGCATTCTTTCAAAAATTTTGGCATGTGATTGGAGATGATATTTGGAGGGACTGCAAACAATGGCTTGACACAGGTACCTTCCCAAAAACTTTGACAGAAGATGATCATATCTGGGAGGGAAATCTGCAAACAATGGCTGAACACAGGTACCTCCCAAAAAACTTTGACAGATACCCATATTGTGTTCAGGTACCTTCCCAAAAACTTTGACAGATACCCATATTGTGTTGCTTCCTAAATGTGATAATCCTATGTCGTTAAAAGAGTATAGACCTATTTCGCTTTGTAATGTTTTTGTATAAAATTGTAGCAAAATCTCTAGCGAATAGGTTGAAAAAAATTCTTCCTTTAATTATTGATGGATGTCAATCTGCTTTTGTTCCCGGGAGGTTAATTTCTGATAATGTGGCGGTGGCTTTTGAATTAATTCACAACATTAAAAGTAGGAAGAATCAAGGGGGTGCTTGTGCTTTAAAAATTGATATTTCGAAAGCATACGACAGGGTTAATTGGGAGTTTTTAAGGGGTATGATGCTGAGAATGGGTTTTTGTGAGAAGTGGGTGAAGTGGATGATGTTATGTGTCACTGATGTGAAGTACTCTGTGTTATTGAATGGTAAGGAGGTGGGCCCTATTCGTCCTGATAGAGGTTTGAGACATGGCGATCCTTTGTCGCCTTGTTTTTATTCTGTGCGGAGGGTTTGTCTTTATTATTTCAGGATGCTAAAAGGAGAGGTAGATTGCAAGGTGTGAAGATGGGAAGGA